ATAATAATAATAATAATAATATAAATAAAGATTATACAATACATCAATAGTTTAAATGAATTTAGAAATTCTTACATTATTATATTTTGATAAGTATCAATAAATGTTAATAGACGGATGTCAAATTGACTTTGGTTTTATAAAATAATTGTTTATTTTTATCTTTTTAAATAATATCATATTTCTAAAAAACATCATAATATATTAGCATTAAGTTTATACTGAAAGTTAGAACATAATTGATTATATCAATGAACACAGGTGTATACATAATATATAATATTGATTTAAAATGGAATGATACAAAAATTAATAGTTTTTGGAATAATTCTGGTATGCAAAATGTGAGTGTTTGTTTTGTGTAATAAAGATTTAGTTATAAGTGATCATCATGAACTAAGGAATGTTAGTAAAAATAAAACATATGTCTGGAATGATATAAATATACTAAACTCAAATTGAAATTATCGATAAAAGATTTGATAGAACWTACACATGGTATTTTTTCACTTTGGTCAAAAAACACTTTATTATGAGAAATAAGAAAAGAATTCTACATAATATTACTTTATAACTCGTTTAGAATGTACATAATATATTTTATCATTAGTGTAAACACAGAGTAACTGTTCAAAATATTATGTTAACATGGATATTATAGTTTATGAGATTATTTTTGTCTTAGAATAAATCTAATTCCAACAACTATATGAACAATTTGAAATTATAAATATATTAGAATTTTTTTATTTAAATTAAATTGATTAGGTATTACAAAATAAAATCATGAAAATGATTAATAATCGAAGAAAAAACAATATTAACCTAGAGTATTAACTCTTAATTAGTTTTAGGTGCTGACCTGTCATTGACAGCAATAGACTTTCTTAACACCATACCTTTCCTTATTTGTTCCATCAGTGAATCATGACATGTGGCTGGATCTACAACCGAGTGTCTGGCAGGAGCAATCCAACGTCTGCTTAATTTAGGAGACCCACCTATTGTTTTAGGTTGCTGTTGTAATAGTCTAGAGCCTAAAGTTGCCATAAATCCAGTTACTGGCTCAGATGAACGGCTATTACAGCGATCAGCACTTGTTGACCGATTACTGGGTGTGCGACGCAATAAAATAGGACTCGCAGGTGTATGATTGAGTTGCGTTAGATTACGTACAGTTTCGGCCACACTTCCTCCAGACAATTTACGTTGATGTGTCATTGGTTCAGAATACACTTTTTCTGAYGTTAATGATGTTTGTGAACGACTTTGCTGACGTTGTTCTGCAGTAATATCAAGCAAAAATGGTGGTGGAGGAGGTAGATTTTGTACTGAATTGTTTAAAATGGACGGTGTACGGCGAATTGGTGGAGGAGGCTTGTTACTCTGTATTGAAGAACGGCGACACAGTGTACCACTTCTAAGACTGGAATAACCTGCAATAAGAATAAATAAATTTCAATAAATATTTTTAATTAATTTCAAATAAAATAATAAAAAAACCATCATAATCAAATGTTAACAATATGAAAATCAGGTGAGGTTGTTAATTTTTCAAACCAATATCATTTAGGTAT